ATATTGACGGTCCCTTGTTTACGATAGTTGGGAGGATAATGCTCGATGTAAAATTCTAACGGACATTACGAAGCGTCGGGGCGCATTTCGATATTGTCCCATGCCGGACGATATCAGGTTCGAGAGTCTGGATCATTCGGCGATTAAACCCCTCGCGAGCTCATGCGCGCACACACACACACACACACACACACACACACACACACACACACACACACACACACACACACACACACACACACACACACACACACACACACACACACACACACACACGCACATCCATACACACCCACGCACACCCAACGCGCACGACGTTCGCAGGTGTTGCAGAATAACCTGTATTAAGCAGCGCATTAGCGACCACTCGACGTAATAGTCCGAACGACGTGGTTACGTCGTGTACAAACTATGCGTGGTATAACTCGGCACGGAGAGAGAGAGCGTGTATCATACTCGCGGTAGTCAGCACAGCAAACTATTGAGCAAACATTAAATATTCATACAACGTTCGAACCCGTCGATCGATAACCCGACTTTAAATTGGCACCCGTGCCGACGTACGCGTCAATTATGTCGCGTTCGCCTGTTCATCGGACAGGCGAGAAGGGTATCTTGGCGAGCGTTTAAACGAGCGCTTAAATAAACGTCTCATTAAGGTTCCGGTTCCGCAATTTGTTTTAACTGGAATTTATCTCGTTCAAGGCCTATTCAGACCAGCTGGCACACTCGCATTATTCATATGCAGAAGGAAACCGATTAATCCCATGAGAAACGTGTCTAATGTAAGAGGCGGCCTTTTGCTGCACGGATCATGATTTGTTGATCTCCTTATGCATACGCAATGTATGATTGTGCAAATTTGTCTGCATAGGCATTTAATCTTTCGTTACTCGCGCGCCTTTTTGGAACGAGAATAGTCACAGATCACCTGAGAGATAAAATAAAGTTGCTGAATATAGAGAGATTTGGGGAATTGCAGTTCTAACCACCACGATGTAGTGCGATTTGTGAATTTCCTTCAATACTATTCTACATAGTGATCCGTTTCTATGTTAAACGTCATTAATGTCTAGTGAGCGAATGACTTGATCTTCAATGTGTTCTTTGCTTCTTGTTTCTTTCTCTTTCTCAAACTTTAAGCCCTAAATTAGAAAAAGATAGAAAACAAGAAACATAAAACAAAGAGCAGATTGTAGATTAGGATTGTGTTGAAAGGCAAGCGAAAGGCAAGCGAAAGGCAAGCATGTTCTACGGAGACAGGAGAGATAGGAGGATAAAAAAGATAGCGCATGTCTCTCTAATCTTCACTTCACACTTGCTGCACTAAAGAAATTCGGGCTGCACCTCGCAAGTGTGCGCGAGTAACGGAAGATGAACGAGTTGGACTGCAGTTGAAATAAATTGCAGGAACAGGCCCAAGTCGACATTCGTTTCCCCGAACGCGAAAACGTGAAAACGCGACACGTATCAGTCAATAAGAAGCCGTTCGCTTAGATCGCGCGATAACGAGGTGGCAGCGAGCGCGTTAATTGAGTCGTCGGAGACGGCGGAGAAGAGTGGCACAAGTTAGCTACTCCACCTCGATGGAGATATCCAAGTTCGCGAAGTCGCGGAAGCGAACAATCCGTGCGCGGGTCTCCTTGAAGGACGCCGCGGTCCTACGCGGTAATACGCGTTCTTTATCCGGCCTCTTTCGTTCGAGTTTACGAGCACTTGCGAACTCCGCGAGAGTGTCACGAAAGTTTCGTCCGCCATCTATTGCGATGCTCTCTTCCGCGGCTGCGTGAGCGCGCGCGCCAAGTAGTTTAATTATATTTAAATTAACTAGCCGTCCGGAGCAAAGCCAACGAGCCGACAATGTTCCCGTTCTCGCGGAACGACTCGTCCCGAGGATCGCGCTCCCGTCGCGGCGAAGTGAATCCAGGCTTTCATCAATGGTTCCGCGCGATTGTAGCGAAATCTCGGCAGCTTCTCCTCTTATGACGAGATGCCATGTCTCGTTTTTGGTCAGAGATGACGAGACAAATCTTGAGATGAAATTAGTCGGCGAAAGGTATTACGCTGCGAAGATCACAGTAACAAATAAATAATGCGTGAGTAAATATCGCGCGACGTAAACGCAATTTTGTAAAGAGTAACGGAGATTCTCAAGTCGCGTGCCGATTAATTAAGAAGTGGAAGCGTACAGTGGGTCTGGATTTAAGCGCCCGACTGCTCGTGTACAGGTAGAACTCAATAGGAAACTAATGTGCGAACAACCACGGTAGTTTTTGGGATCTCAATTGAAGGAAACTGATCAATCAGTACGCGCAATGCAGTGAGACGAGCTTTGAACACAATTAATTCAATTTGATTATTGTTTAAGCTTCACCGTTTTGTTCCACGATTTGTGCTACGATTCTTATGATGTATTACTTCGGTTAAACGCCTGTATTTGCTGTTTCTATATATAGATCAGATAATAAGTCTAAGACATGTCTAAGACTGCCTACGAAGCTCGTCCTATCGTATCGCGCGCATCGATCGACCAATTTTCTTTCTTGTTAATATCTCGAAAATTGCCGTGGTAGTTTACGAAATGGTAGAGAAATTTTCTATGTTCAAATTCAAAAAAGTTCTACCTGTATATAAACGGGTGAACACCTAAGTCCAGACGTGTGGGTGTACAGACGAGCACGAACGAGCGTCGAGAGACCGGGATTCATTATGCAGGCTGCCAATGCGCGCACCTCTTCTCCCCCCCCCTCTCTCTCTCTCTCTCTCTCTTTCTTTCACTCGCGCGTGCTATCTTTCTTTGCCCGTATTGTCCTGCAAATCGCCTGGGGATCCACATTCGAAGAACGTTCTCGCACGTAGTCGATATTGTTCCACCTGAATGCTACATCACGATTCCCTCGCGAGCGTCTCAGACGTTCCTCTGTTCCCTTCCTTCCTCCTCCTCCTTTTTTCCCTCTTCTCCCGACGACTCTCGTGGATGCTCGCTCGGGAACTTATTACAAGACGAATGACGTAGACTCGATGGTGCTCCGGGCACTTTGTCCGCAATGTCGGAATGTTTTCCGCAAGAGCAAGACCTCTCCTTCTCTCTCCTTCTCCTTCCCTCCCCTCCCCCTCTCTCTCTCTCTCTGTCTATCTCTCTCTCTCATCCCCTTTCCCTCTCACGGGCACACCGCAATTACACGTTGGGGAATTTTCGTGATTGTCACGACGAGAAAATTAAGAGCGACTATTGCGCCGCGCCCGGCCTCAACGACGGATATTTAGTGTGACGAAGACGCGAGGTTTCTTATGCAAATTTCGCGGCTGCATGCAAATGTATTCAGGCGGCCCGTTGCGCCCCCGAATTTGTCCTACAGAGAACGCGTTTAATACACACCTAAGCGCGACGCACGCTGCCAACGATAAAAATTATTATATCCCACCCCTTTCCTCGTAGAAACTTCGTTTTCTAGGATCTCGTTATGTAGCCACTACGAAACGCCAAAAGAGTCGTCGCACTTTATCTGCCGATAAAATGTCTGTCATCGATCGTAACCGTGTTTCGATCCAATGGTTCTAATTGGAGGGACGGGGAGCGAGGCAGCCTAGGTGGCAAGGATCTCGCCCGGCGCGGAAAAGGCCGACGTTTCTCACACAACAGCTGCGCCTTAACGACCACTGTCGCACTTATCGCGCCGATCCATTAGCAGAACTACCGGCGCAGCAATCTCGCAGACCGTGTCCGCTCGCCCTTTGCTCACCTTTGACTTTTACCTCCTACCTTGGCTCTACGAGTCGATTAGAGGAACGAGCCGTCGCTAGGCAAAGCGCCTTCCGGCCGGCGCGACCCGCTCTTTGACGGCCGACTCTGATAAGAGAATTCAAATTCAGGAGCCGTTCTTGAGAGAAGCGGCAAATAATAATACATTTTTAAACGCCATTTAAACGTTCATTATCGTGTTCACGGTGGACCAAGTCGCGGCGGGATTTCATTGTTCAGGCTCGCGTTCGACCGGACTGCGACGTCAAACCATTCTCAACCCTCTCCTTGAAGTCAATTCTTATTCCCGGTGAACTTGATTCCTGCTGCTCGCAAAAAAGGAAAAAAGAAGACAAAGGCGATCGAACGATTTGTCAACAATCCGATGGGACGTAACACACAGTGCAATCGATCGCCCTTCTCCCTCCTCCCCCGCCATTCGTGTGCCACCTCTCATTCGTATGCAACTTTCGCGGAATCCGGCCGCGAGATCTGCAAGTGTAAACAAATTTATCACCCGCCACGTCGGTGAGTGGAAAGTAGGAAGACAGAACCGGCGAGAACAAGGGGCAACGACGGCAACACGGCAGAGGGACTCAACGACGACAGAACCGGGAAACTCCTGTTATCCGGCTGCTCGCCAGCGACGCACACAGACCTAGAATAACTTGATTATCGGGCTACCTGGTAACACCGCGGGTTCGCCCGCTAGCTAGTGGGAGCCTAGAAGAATGGAAAATGGAGGCGGTGTGTGACGGCGACGTGTGGCTACGTTTCATCCCTTTGATTTGTACGTGCGCGCACTCTAACACACACACACACATATATATATATATAATATGTGTGTGTAGCTTGGCAAGTCACCCTTACATGCTCGGCGAAGCCGCTCGTCGCCGCAAAACCAACAACGCTATTTCACTCGTCCGTGCCAGCGGTATCTGCTCATGTGTGACGTTAGTTCTCCAAGTCACAGGGACCTTTCGACAAATTCCACGACAAAAGGGTTAAACGTCGCGCTGCACCTCGGACAGAGCCCGGCTTTATCCGACGTGGTGAAACGCCGGGCGCGATCGATGGGCGCGATACTTATCATCCGCGCCGTTTATCTCCGTTATCGCGCGCGCATTGTGTCGTGCACAGCCCAAGAGAGAGAGAGAGAGAGAGAGAGAGAGAGAGAGAGAGAGAGAGGCGAGGGCCCCCCTGTGCAGCCGCCGAGGACAGGAGCTTGCCCGAAACGTTTGGTCGGTCACGCCGGGCGGGCCTGTAATTCGCGTGGACGCGCGCTCTGGAAGACCATTATACACACCCCCTTGGGGAAAACCGCCGTGGCGAAACTGGCTGCAGTTCGGTGTGCCGGCGTCGCCGACTTGCCAGATATCCACGCGTTATTGCGCCGCGGCTGACACGTATCTCGATCCTTACTTTGACTTCCGTCCTCGTTTCTCAGAGACCGCCAGAAAGCGCCCTCGCGCCATTTGTCATCACGTTGAAACTTTCGTGAAATTATTTCCAACCAACCGACCAAGCAAGCAAGCCAACTTGGAATGACGCCGTCGTCGTCGTCCCGCGGCCACTCGACAATTATCGAAATAGATTCTCCCCTCCTGGCCCTCGGTCTTTCTGGCCCAAGTTGACGCGCTAATTTTCCGCCGAAATCGCGCGGCGCAAGCGGGGCGCCGATCGATGGAGGAGAGTTTTGCCGCGCCGAGGGCTACTCGAGCGCTTATCGGCGCAGCGCGCTTGCTTACGCTCGATTATCGGCCCTTTTGCACGACTGATCCCGTGACCCCGAGAGAGGGTCGTACGTGGGGCGGTATCGCATACGTGTGCACGCGCCTATCCCTTTGAACTTCCTGGCCTGGGTGAGGCAGAAAGAGCAAAACGCCGGTAGATAGAGGAGAGAGAAGCCCCGTCCTTTCCGCCCTCGAGAAAATCTCGTCGGCCGATGAGAAAGCGTGGCACGGTTAGTCCGACATTGTTAGCCCCGGAGCGCGGAGCCATTGACGTGCGGTTGTCGACGGACGTTCGATACGCGGAGTGACGACGTTGGCCGCGATCAGGTCGATCGGTATCGCTTGTGTTAGCGTCGTTATCGTCACGCCGGATCGGTCCTCGCGAATCGATCGCTCGCGAATAACGCGAGCAGCCGCCGACGCGCTGCTCGGCGCCGATCGGCCGTGCGATATTTCGACACGTGGCGCAACGACGCGTGTCTGTGTGTGTATGTGTATGCACGCGCGCGTGTATTTACTATATTAAATATATACCTGCACGCGGATGTGCAGAGGAAGGACAGAGAGGGAGAATCCGCGAAAGGTGGGCGGCGAGTAGGCTGAAATACTTGACAGAGCCGCGCTCGGCAGTCTGGCCGGCGCGTCCGTGCCTCTTGAACGGACGGATGAATTAATTATTGGTGTCGGGTGAAAAGAGCGTGTGATTCGTGCCATGGATCGAAAATAACGACGACGGCGGTGCGCAGTGTCGACAGTGCTGTTCGCACGAGGAAATCAACCGGTTCGGATCTTATCAACGTGACAACCGGACGAAGAAACTGCCATGGCCAACACCTCCACCGATCTCTCGGAAGATAAGCTATCAGCTCCGCCGCTTTCACACAACTTACATCTCACCTCCCGACATGCACGGTTATTGCTCGCGTCTTTCTCCTTTCTCTCCCTCTCCTCCGGTCTTCTTCCTCTCTCTCTCTCTCTCTCTCTCTCTCTCTCTCTCTCTCTCTCTCTCTCTCT